TCAAAGGTATAACAAAGCCAACTTAAAAAACCATAAATTGAAATGGGAATCCTATTCTAAGCCTAGCTATTATATTTAATTTGTCCATTTTAACTTTGTTTTAATGTGCATCAAACTTACTAAACGCCAATTTCCTCACCATGATTTTATAGATATGTTTCAATCAATAGGTCCACTGGATATGTTTCATGTCATTCCCTTCAAAAGCTACATTGTGCTTGAAATTGTTTGTGGCCATAGTATTTCGAACATAGTGGATTTTGGTATATAGTTGTGAATCTGTTAGTGAAACATATTCTTCTTAAAAGGTTACGTACGATGATGATGAATTGAACTTAAATGAAATACTATAGTCGACCTAACTTATTTTGGATTGGAATATAGTAATAATTGTTGTTTGGCTCATACTTTATAAAAATAATGAATCGTTGCGTGTACATCTTAGACGGAAATGTGAAAAGTTATGGAGTAATCACCATCAAGGAGATGCAAAGGATCAGAAAGAAAAAGATAAAGAGAATTATGTAGAAGGAGAACTCATTCTAATTAATCTGAAAAAGCATCTCAAAAATATTTTTACATTGCTATGTCTATATATAAGAAAGCTACTTTGCTAACTACCTCTTAACAACTTTCTAATCTTCTAACTGCTTCTAGAATAATTATCGTGTGAACTATCCTACTTCTATTAAAGAATGACAAAAGTTTCACATCGGTGGTTAATGAGATGAGTGAATTCCTTATAAGACTTGGACAATCCTTCTCCCTTTGAGCTAGCTTTTGGGGTGTGAGTTAAGCCTAAAACATAATTTCACATGGTATCAGAGCAGAGTCCATTTCACCCGATGTTGGGGCCCTCCAAAATCAAAATTACTTAAAACCGATGGTTAATGAGATGGGTCCTTTGGTAGAACTCCTAAAGCAAAAATAGGAAAAATATAATAAAAAGGAGAAAATATTTAATTACTGTACAAACATTCATTTTATATATATAATAGATACACCACGAGAAAATATCTAATTACACCACAAACATTCATTTTATATATATAATAGGTACACCACTCCTTCAAATTTCATTCTTGATACTACATACTTATATCTTTGATACCAGATATATTCTCAAATACATATACATAGAAAGGTAGGCGAGCAAGAGAGTAACATGCATGTATCTTTGATAATAGGTATATGTATCTTTGATATCAGATACATTATGAAATACTGATACATAGCGAGAGAAGCGAGCGACAGAACAAGTATATTCTAGAAATCTGTGAATCACACTCAAACACAATATATCTGAAATAAATTACACCTAATAGCTCACCGTACTGGCGTACTCATAAAAATACATTAGCATAAAGTGAAGCATAGTATCTGAAAGTGGATTTTATGTACGGGCTAGCCCACTAGATTGGCCCATATGATGGGGCAAGGACAACTTTAACTTTTAGCCCATTATTCCATTTAAGTGCTAGTGCTTTAGTTGTTGTAGTTACTAGTTATCTTGCACCTAGCTAGGTATAGCTTTTAGCCCATATTATTATTGATTTGAGGTTTAACTAATAACTTGTATACATGTAATATCATCCTCAAATTCAATAAATAAACTAACTAGACTTAGCTTACTTTGTTATTCACATGCATTGTCTTTAGGGATGGCAACAGGATGCGACGAGACATCCAAATTAAAAGATTATACATATCTTCTTTTAAAAAAATAAAAATAAAAATTGTCGTTCTGGATTAACTGTCCACATTATTATAAATAGTTGCCTTTGCAAAATCAAGATGAAATAGTTAGTAAAAGTTTTACTCATTTTACGTCTGCAATTAATTACAAAGGTAACGAATTCGCAAAAAACCAACAAATAAATAAATTTAAAGGGCAAAGTAGTAAATTTGTCCTTATTAATAATTTCTTAATAAACGTATAAAAGAAAAAATGAATAACCAATACAAAAAAATGGAGTAACTAATTAACGTAGAATCGAAATATGAAGGAAGCGCAGGATATATTGCATGCAATGGAAAAATAACAAGGTATCCATCATTTACATGAATTCCTTTCCCATTCGTTTAAAAAAATTCCAAGTTAGTGATTTGCATGTGTATATTAATATTAAGATTATACTAAGTATTTTAATAATAATGTTATTTATTATTGTTAATTGTTGTATTGGGTTTAGAGTTATAAAATAGCAAAATGTACGTGAAAAGGAAAAAAAGAAAAACAAGAAATCTTCAAGGTATATATAAGTTCATCTGAATATAAGCAAATTTTTTTAAAAAAAAATACTTAAAATAAGTCGATTAAATCATACTTATTAAGTAGATTTATAAAAACGAAACGCAATAAGTCTGGTGAGGATCAACAAGGTGCATTTGGTGATAAAAAGATACAATGGTGTTGATCAAGTAAACAAATAGCTCGTGGCAATATGAACGAATTAAGGCCTACAAAAGCAAGGTTTGTGGGTTGAACTTGTCACAACTCACACGAAACTTAGTGTGATTTAATTACCTCTTCTATATTATTTGTAAGCTATTACAGTCTACACAAGGGATGGATTTACCCTAAGCCCACCTAATGGTAAGTGTTACGGGTTTCTTATCGTAAATAAAGGCCTAGTAATTAAATTAAGGAAAAATCATATAAAAATAGTAAATTATTAATTAAATAAATGCTATAACCATGGTTTGATTTAATTATATCCCATAGCAAACTGTCATTATTTTGCTTTTATCCTTGTGAATCTCGCTCGCCACTCTCGTTCTCTTCCTCGCCTCTCTTGTTTTTATAGAAACGATGTATAAATGTGTTTGTGTTTGTATAAAGCGAGAGAAAATTGTATATATACATATATTTTTGTTCCCCTCTCTTCCCACTCCCAGATTTCGCTCGCCACTCTCCAAGTCTCGCTCGTTCACTCGTCTCTCTCACTTTATACAAACACAAATGTATACATTGTGTTTGTGTTTGTATAAAGCGAGAGAAAATTGTATATACAAATACAAATGCATATATTTTCGTCCTATACACTTATGATTATACAAATATGATCTTCCCATGCCCAATTTTCTTTTGTCTCTCTCTTTCTCGCTTAATACAAACACATTTTATACAATTGATCTTTTGTATATGTATATCAAAGTAAATTATACAATTGCTTTCTTCTGTATATGTATAGCAAAATTATACAACTGTTTTCTTTTGTATATGTATAGCGAAATATACATATTTATATTTGCTATGAAATACAATTATGCAAATTATAACTATAACATACAAATATAATTTTTATGTTTGTTGTATGTGAAAGTTACCCTTAAATTAAACTATTGACCACACAAATTTATTTTCCCATAAATTACTACATACACCGGATCATACTCATTTTTGCTTTCATTAATATGTATTGACGGGGTAATTTTTTTTAAAACCCACCAAAAGTATAATTTTTTTTATTTTTTTGAGTTTTATACAAATGTGAGTTTTGATCGTGCTTGTTAGTTAAATTTTAAAAAATAAAAATAGTATATTTGCGTAGTTCTTTTTTGTTGATATTAACCATATCCTTATGGACTCGAGGGCGGACCTACAGTGGTGCAAGTGGGTTCATATAAACTCACTTCGTTGAAAAATTATATATATGTATATTTAATTCAGTCGACCGCTAGAACTACTGGTTTTAAAGAAATAGACTTACTTTTTCTTCACTTGAATCATAATTACAAGAATCTAGATTTGAGTATCGTGTCCTAAGAAAAAAATGAATCGGGCAGAGGCCTTTGGTGTCCCCTCCAGTCGGCCTTTGTTGTACCCTCCAGTCAAGAATTGGGGCCTCACAATCACAAGCCAATATGCTTTTCTCTCATGCCTTTCTTCGTTCATGGTTCGATATTCTGGTGTACTAGGCATAGAGGAACCACACCAATCCATCCCCAACTTGGTGGTTAAACTCTTTTTTTTATATCATTCTTTAAGTCCCATAGGTTTGATCATGTAGAATTTGATCCATTTTCTCATTGAACGAAAGGTATGAAATAAATCAGATTGATAAAAGTACCATGTATATATAATTTTGACCCCATTAATACAAGTTTAAAGCTTAGTCGAATGATTGAGGAGTTCAAGTTCTCTCGATCAACCCGGGATTGAATCCCAGTCTGCCTTTTTTTTGGGTTTCACGTACATACACAAGTATGTCATTGCCGTGTGGATACGGAAGGGATGAAAAGAAATTGAAACATGAAGATGAAACCAGATTTCTGATGATGGTGAATCTGATGAAGAGCCTGAGTACGATTCCGATGATTGGCGAACTTGGCCAAATAGGGATGTTTTTATCAACAACTTTCTTTTTCTATTCCAATCATTTTTTCCGCCAATTTATCACAATTCCATCATAATAGCGTTTTAATTTTGATGAATCTCCTGGATCGTGCATATTTGCATCACATTAAACATTAACACATTCTTTCACCAGAAATCTTCACTTATTTCTCCAACACACAGTCATTGACATTCTAAAATCTTCACTTTCCAGCAATAACTGATTCAAAAGTTCAAATCTTTCACCACTGTTACATTATCTCGACCAATATTTAGCAGAAACATACGAAAAAAGAAGAAAAAAAACTCAAGTAGAAAGTTCAAATCTTTCTACTCTATTTTGCATTAAGAAAATTGTTGAATAAAGGAAACAAAATGTGTATGTCTAGATCTCCATTGATGGAGCTTGAGGAAGAAGTGAAGAAGAAGCAATGGTGCTCTTCATAGACGTAGATTGATAGAAAATGGTGAAAACCATGAATGTAAAGGAGAGTTTATAAATGAGTCTGCACAGCTACATATATACACATAACTAACTCAACTAACCAACTAATCTCTAACTAACTAATGGAAATGTAACTAACTAATTGAATTGTAAGTTGTTATGTAACTAACTAATTGAAATGTAAGTTGTTTACATATATATAAATCAATACCCCCCTCAAGTTGGAGGGGCAGCAAGCAGATCCAACTTGCTGAGGATTGCTGAATGCTTCAGTCCAGTGAGTGCTTTAGTTAGAACATCAGCAAGCTGTTCACCAGTTCCAATATGATGCAATGAAATTAACCCTTCTTGAAGCTTAGCTCGTACAAAATGACAATCGACTTCAATATGCTTCGTTCTCTCATGGAATGCAGGATTTTTGGCAATTTGTAATGCTGACTGGCTATCACAGAAAACAGGAAAAGGACTAGCACACAAGAGACTATATCTCTTTCTTCAGCTGAAGCTGAATACAGATCCATTAGAAAAGTAGTAGGGGAATTAGTATGGTTAAGCAGATTGTTTGAGGAGCTAACTGTGCCATGTGCTAGTCCTTTTCCCGTTTTCTGTGATAGCCAGTCAGCATTACAAATTGCCAAAAATCCTGTATTCCATGAGAGAACGAAGCATATTGAAGTCGATTGTGTTCCCTCCTGTTCCTGATGTGGAAGCTTGGCCAGAAGTCTTAACCATGATGAAATCGATTCACATGAAACAATTACAGAACACTAAAGAAATCAACAAGAAGACAATAACAGAACACACTGAGATCGACAAGAAGACGAGAAAGCGACCTTCAGAGATGAGCGCAGAGATCGACAGGAAGATGAACTCGATTCTTCAGAGATGATCTGAGATTTTAATTGACGAGAAGAACAGTGATCTACACCTGCTCTGATACCATGTTGAATAAAGGAAACAAAATGTGTATGTCTAGATCTCCATTGATGGAGCTTGAGGAAGAAACAGAAGAAGAAGTGAAGAAGAAGCAATGGTGCTCTTCATAGACGTAGATTGATAGAAAATGGTGAAAACCATGAATGTAAAGGAGAGTTTACAAATGAGTTTGCACAGCTACATATATACACATAACTAACTCAACTAACCAACTAATCTCTAACTAACTAATGGAAATGTAACTAACTAATTGAATTGTAAGTTGTTATGTAACTAACTAATTGAAATGTAAGTTGTTTACATATATATAAATCAATAAAAATCTTAAATGACAAAAGGTAATATTTATGGGTCGCAAACATTTTTTTTAGTCTGTTTCGGTAAAATCTTCACTTTTTTCCTTTACACACATTAACATTTAAAAATTTTCACTTTCCAATAATAACTAGCTCAAAAGTTCAAATCTTTCACCACCATTACATTATTTCGACCGATATTTAACAGAAACAGACAAATAAAACAGTATATATAGGTTCAAAGTTCAAACCTTCGGTAAAAGGAAAATGCAAAAAGATCAGATTTTCTTTGTCTTTTTAGGTTGCAAATAGAGTGCAAGTTAGTAAAGAAAAATAAGAAAAGGAAAGAAATGTTGGAGTTTACCGACTGTTCTTCCATACCCATTTTTCAAGAAGAAGGAAATGAAGTGTCAGACAATTGGTTTGGATTTTCAAGAAGGAGGAAATGAACGGTCAGACAATTGGTTTGGACTTGTACAAAATCGATTTGGGCTCACCCATTTTGGGCCTCGGTTTTGGGCTTTGCAAAGCATACACACAGATCCAATGAACAATTTTTCATATATGTTTAGGTTTTACAATTAGCAACGTGTTTTTTACTTTCTTGTATAAATTTTGTTTGTTAGAAATAGGCCAATTAGAAATGGACATGTGTCCAGTTAGTTAGTAGAAAGATTCTTCAATTGTTGTATAAATAGGACACCAATTGTACAGTTTTGGATCATCAGAATAAAAGGAGAAAGAAAATTTTGTATTGTATTTTTGCAAGAAAGTGAACCGTTCCAATTTGCACGTAGAAAATGAAGGTGTGTTGCTAATGCTGCTATGCCCTCTTTTTATGCGTTAAAGTATATTTCATCGTTTAGGAAAAAAACTGCAAAAAGTTTTTAACTCAAAATAAAATATTTAATTCAAACTTACGAAAGGTGTTGATATAAAAACCCCCAAGATATGTTTTGGGTAATTTTACTTGTATTTTAACTATTTTACGAATATTTGCAGTGGTGGAATCAATATAGAAAATTATGCACACCAATAGTATTTAAAATGTTCTTTTTTGTCATTATTTTCGAATTAATTTTAACTCTTTCATGGGATATCTACAATAAGGTAGCCACTAGCCAGTATTGTTGTTACAACTTACAAGTTCATTGGCTTAGGCTCAACTCTTAGATTGCTATACTTTATTTAATATTTATAGGTAATACATCTAAAATTCAATAAGAACATAGTGTATACTTCATAACTCATAAACATAGTGTATACATCAGCATGTAGCGGAAAAGCAGCCAATATACATTGTTATACAGCAGAGTATACAGATGATAAAGGGATGAAAATGGGCAAAAACTCCAAAATTGCATCAACAGCTTGGGCCGAATTTCACTTCAGATGAACAGTAACTATATTTGGGCTCTAGAAATGAAATTTGGGTAAGGACCAATAGCTTGTTTCTCCTTTAATTAAATTTTGTCATGTATCTTTGTTTGTTCTAATGAATTGATTTCAACTTTAGAGTAACTTAATAAAATCCTTTGAAGACGAACCCTTTCTGTTATGATGATTCATTCCATTTTGAGTGATTTTAGTTTTAAAATTGTAATTACTTATTACTTACATGTTAAAAAGATAGGACAACTATTTTCATGATTTAAGCCTTGATGAAAATGTAATCACATGCTATTTTGGTGGGATGTAATAGATACAGAAGAAGTTTATTTTTTAAGTTTATGAGTATTGAATTACTTTAATTATTTGTAAGGAAAAAAAATACAAGATTTAACTTTTAAGCTTATATATGTATCTAGTGTGGTTCATATGTATTTGGGATACATAAAATCTCGTTTGCCGTCCTCCCCAATCTCACTCGTCGATCTCTCTATTCTTGTGTATATGGTAGCAAAAAAATATGTATTTAAGTGTAAAATACATATGAAACTCTTAAGTAGTGGTAAGATAAGTAATATTTTGAAAGTATAGATAATAATATTATATATGAAAGTGAAGTACGTCTAATTTTGTACTTTTACCAATATTAATCCAATTATTACTAATAAGGTGAAAATATAGATAGTCAATTATTAAGCTATTTCCTTTATAAAAAAATTAGTTATTATGCATTGAGAATAAACATTTTTTTCTAACTTCGTCTTTAGTATTAATTATTCTATAATTAAAAGGTACATTAATAGAAAAAATAAACAAATTAACATTACAACAATTGACACTCTTTGTATATGTCCATAAAGTCTTTAGCGACATTGGTTCTAATGACACTTATATGCCGGTAAAGACTTTAGCACTCTTTATTATGTCAATATTTAATGACGCTAAAAGTTATTTTTATTATAGTATAATGAGGGATATATTAGTCAAACTACAGTGGTAATTAAATTTTTAAAAATACTTTGCAAACATTTATCGTAACAATTAAAAAGAAACGGAGGAAATCATCTATATATATATATATAGATATATAGATATAAAAGATGACCATAGATAAGGTGATGTGACACCTCTCTATGGACTCCATTTGCATTTAGTTTTTTCCTTTTTTTTTTGGCTTTTTCTAAAAAATAAATTAATTATTATATCATTAAAAATTACTTAAATTTATTCAAATAAATATTTTATTAATGGAGATCATTTATAACAAAAACTTTTCATATTTTTCTATTTATTTATCTCACGTATAATAAAAGGAGAAACATAATTTATTTATTTTTGACTTTTTTAATTTAAATTAATTGTTCTATTATAAAAATGTATTACTTTATTTGTAAAATAAATATTTTATTAATGTAGGAACATTTATTAAAAAACTCTCTATTTTTTTCTATTTATTTATCTCACTTTAAATCATGAAATCATAATAACTTTTTTATTACATTTTAAGTATTTTTATTTTTATTTTAATTTGTTCACTAGGAGTTACTACCCATGACTTGCCTCTTTTTAATTTATACTTTTAACAATATTCATAACTCTCATAATTTGTGTGTTCATAACCTCCAAATTAAATTTATAAGCTTATGATGTCTTATTATATTGCTTTATTTTGCCTATAAATTCATATTAGTTTCACAAAGATTCACATTCACAATTATCTTTTCTCTTTTCATCATATTGGTTTCGTTTGTAACAAAAAAAAAAGTGCATGAAGGTAAGAAATATTTCATTGCAAATTTTTACTTTTTATTTTCTCTATTTTTGTCTATATAAATTCGTATTTGGTTTGTAAATGAAACTAACATGTAACAAAAAAATCGTATATGAAGTTAATAAATATATCATTCTCAAGTCATTATTTTTTCATTTCCTTTATTTTGTCTATATAACTTCATATTTATTTTCACGAAGATTCACATACAAAGTTATAATTTCTCTTTTTCATCATATATACTTATTTGTGAATTAATGTAACAAAAAAAGTATATGAAAGTAATATATATTTCATTCTAAAGTCTTTTTTTTTATGTACTTAGACATGCTTTCTTAATATATATTTTTTATGTTTGTATTATCATTTATCAAGTAAGTATGATTAAAAAAATATCTGTAATTCTTACAATGTGTTGTCCGTATGCAATTGCTCTTTCTAATAGTTAGTTTTCCGCATATCATATAGTTTGATTATAATATTTGTTACATTTCAAGAAATAATTATTATTTAGTATTATTAGTACTATTGAAAAGATAATATACAACTATATTACATATAGTTTATATTTCTTTCTTTCTTTTGACATAGTTATTTTTAATTGGTATATGATTTTTTTAATTTGATAGCATATAATGAAGAGTTTTAACATATGGATCAAAACATGATGACAAATCTCTTTGCAAAGGAAGATGGTAGAAGGAAAAAAAAATGAAGCATATAATACTGTTTATGCCTACATGAGAGCTTTGGAGTCGATAAGTGTAAATTAAGAGTCATATTTAAGTCAATTCTGAATTTCCAAATAACCAACATGATTAGCTATGCAGGAAGACAAAGAAGAAATTTGTGGAATAAAAGAAATCAAAGCAAGTGGAGAAATGATGTAAAGACATGTTAGTGACAGCCTCGCGACGCACAGAAGGAAATCAAATCTTGACGTGAAATAAAATGCTAAACAGAACACTTTGTGTCAGCATCACGTCGCGCGCTACAGGACCCACAATTGGAGATTCAAAATTTAGTATAAATAGGACCTTAATGTAATTTTGTTATTATTCTTTTTCTTATTTTGGAACGGGTTACGTCAAAAACGATTTTGGAAATTCTAGGTTTGGAGTGCATTCTTTCTTCTTTAGTAATTATTAGAGAATGATATTAATTATGTCGAATGATATTATGAGAATTATTCGTAGCTAAATACCCTAGATCTAGGGTTGCTACTATAGGACGAATGGAGTTTGCTTGAGTTGTAAGGGTTTATCAAAAAGTTATCTATGATTCGTTTTTACTTTTTCGTTTTATGTATTTCACGAGTGGCCGTCATTGAAATAAATTCATTGTCCAAATTGAACTTGAGAGAGGAATGGGATAATAGAACATGGGAAGTAAGAAGTTTGGTTAACTCTAAATAGCTAGGGTTAATTCGTTTTTAGGATAGAGATATGCCTGAAAACCTTACTTGGAATACCATACATGAAGATAACTTAATGCTCAACTCTTATTCATCTTATCCCCGCTCAATGATGTAGTTAGTTTTGTAATAGTTATAAGCGATTTGAGGTTGAGAGACCATAATCATATATCCAACCATGTGGTTCATCGATGAGATAAAGTTAGAAAAAACTTTATTCGACGATGGCAACTTCGTGAGTCCTAATAAAAGCTGCAACTCTGGATTTCTCCATTAATATCGTTTCAAGTCAGGAAATTGAATCATCATAGTTAGTTTAGTTAGCCATAACTTTTAGTATAGTTATTCATAAAATTTTAAACATTGCACTTGCATGAGTTAAGAATTGGCAAATTAATAAATTCTAGTCTGTGGTCCCTATGGGTACGATATCCAGCTCTGTAACAAAAGCCATTATATTATTTGTACGATTACGTGCATTTGCGTGTGCGATTCGAACACAACAAGTAGCAACTTAGCTACTTTTGCTAGAGTTTTTTAGATTTGATTTATATAAATGATTTAGCTAAATGTATTATATTGTCAATGCTAATCATTTGATCGAACTTTTAACCAAACTAAGTCATTATATGAAATAATTTACCAAAGTAATACATTTTTCTAAAATTTTACAAAACTAGTATAAACGTATTTCACGGTAACGTTTTAGGGTATATTTTATTTTTTAAAAACTAACAGCATTAGGTTGATATACGTTACTGTAAGCAACGTTTTACTTTTAAAACGTTATTTTTAGTAACATTTACTCCTA